CACGTCTCCTGTGGGAGGGCCCTCCCCACCACTGTTTCCACCTCCCCCTGCTGGCCCTTCCCTGCCTTTCCTGCTTGTTGGTCTTTATAGCACCTTGACCGTCCCCATCTGCCGCCCTCGGTGTCTCCCTTGTTTGGTCTTCTCCCTCCGGTGTAAGTGCCATGGGGACAGGGACTCGGTTCACTGCTTTATTCCTAACAGCCGCAGCACTGCCTGGCAGAGTAGGTGCTGAATGCATGCTTGGTTTGTGGAAGGCCTTTTATTTTTACTTTATATATATATTTTAAAATTTTGAGGTGGCCTGGTGGTGTAGTGGTTAAGTTCGCACGCTCCACTTCGGCAGCCTGGGCTTGGCAGGTTCGGATCCTGGGCACGGACCTACGCACTGCTTATCAGGCCATGCTGTGGCAGCATCCCATGTAAAGCAGAGGAAGAAGGGCATGGATGTTAGCCCAGGGTCAATCTTCCTCAACAAAAAGAGGAGGATTGGCAACGGATGTTAGCTCAGGGCTAATCTTCCTCAAAAAAAAAAAAAATTATTTTATTGGGGTAAGAACATTTAACACAAGATATACCCTCTTAACAAGCTTTAAGTGTACAGTGCAGGATTGTGAATGGTAGGCACGATGTTGTATGGCAGGCACTGGAACGTCAGTGTTTTCACTGAGCTGAAGCTCTGTGCCCACTGATTAGCGGCCCCCGGCGTTTGTTAATAGAGTCATTTGATCACTTTCACTTTCAGCATCTGTGGTGAAGTGTTTGCCCCTGAAGTAAGAGGTTAGTCTAACAACTGGGGGGACATTTGTGACCCTACTCCTCAGTGCTTCCAGTGCCTGGGGCAGGGAGAAGTCGGTTCTGGCCCTGTGGCCCTGGCTCAGCTCCATGGCCACCTGGGGACTACAGGCTCTGAGTCAGACGTTTTCTACTGCGTGGCTGTCATTCACTGAGCAAAATGAGTCACCTACTACGTGCTTAGAAGAATGCCAGGCCCTGGGGTGACACATGAATGAGACAGTCCCTGGCTTCATAGGGACCTGTTCATGGGCCTCTGACCCAAGATTTGGGAACATCTTTGGAAAAAGAAGCACATCAGTGGGTGGTGAGAGTAGAGCTGGGCTGGGTTTCTGGGTTTAATTGAACAAACATGGGGCTGAGCAAGGGGACAAAGATGCACAAGGCCTGGTGCCTGGCCATGGGGTTCTCGAGGAGCACATCTGCTCGTGCCCTGAGTGAGCAGAACCTCGGCCCGTCTACAGCAGGTCCGTGTCTCTTGCAGCTGGTGAGGGAGAGCACAGACCCTGCCGGCGAGCGCAGAAAGGCCGACTCTGAGAAGGAAGAGGTGAGTCCGTTGCGGCCGTCACAAGCGTTTGGACTTAGGCTGCGAGATGGAGACTGAGCAGCATCACCTGCCTGCCAGGCTGGCCTGCTGGGCGTTTGTCATGCTTTCCTCAAAAGCTAGTGTTTTGGGGCCAGCCCCGTGGCTTAGCGGTTAAGTGCGCGCGCTCCGCTGCTGGTGGCCCGGGTTCGGATCCCGGGTGGGCACTGACGCACCGCTTCTCCGGCCACGATGAGGCCGCGTTCCACATACAGCAACTAGAAGGCTGTGCAACTATGACATACAACTATCTACTGGGGCTTTGGGGGAAAAAAAATAAATAAAAATTAAAAAAAAAAAAGAAACCGGCTTTTAAAAAAAAAAAGAAGCTAGTGTTTTGGATTCTCTAGTTTGCTAGAAAAGGGAAAGCAGAAGCCTCTCGTGCCTCCTCCTTCCTGTTCAATATCAAGCAGTGGCCGTTGGTTACAAGTCCGGCTCGCGTCCGATTTCTAAGGGTCGGGTCCTAGGCCTGTGGAGGAGGAAGCTGGCTGTTTCTGCTGGTCCCCTGGCAGTGGCCACCGCCCGCAACAGTGTGAAGGGATTCCTGGTGGGATGGACAAGTAACAGCTGTGGGAAGATCCGGTGTCAGCTGCATGCTTCTGCCCTGCCCTTCCCAGGTCCTGCCAGAGGTGGGGGCTGGGGAGCGTGGCCCCGGGAGAAAGGTGGACACCGCGCTGGAAGTGCTGCAGCTGCCCCCAAACGCCGGAGGCCCTGAGGAGCAGGTGAGGTGCTGGGCCCGGTACGGAGGCAGCATGGGGTTGGTTGGTCTCAGCAAGAGGGGATTCGCTAACAAAATGAAGAAAACTGGTGCCCAAACCACAAGCACCATGGTATGTAGCCCTGATTTCAGACCCTCCCAATAAAATTAGCTGCAGCCTGGGCAGACATGCATTTTAGGAGAGCTTTGGGAAGTGAGTGCTGCTGAGTGTGGTGACACGCCACCTTTCTGTGGAGAGCAGCTCGGCCGCCAGTCTCGGGCTTTGACCACAGGGCACTCCTTATCTTTCACCCTCCTCTGTCCTCAGGTCCTGCCACACAGACCGGAAGCAACCAAGGCCCCTGGTCAGCAGGCCAGCCCCACAGGGCTGAGAAGGCCCCTCCCCACTCAGCCATCTGATCACAGCTACGCCATTTTGGACTTAGATGCCCTAAAGAAAAAACTCTTCCTCACTCTGAAGGAAAATGAAAAGCTCCGAAAGCGCCTGAAGGCCCAGAGGCTGGTGATGCGGAGGATGTCCAGCCGCCTCCGTGCTTCCAGAGCCGGGCAGGCGGGACTCCAGGCCAGGCTGCGGCTAGAGCAGCAGAGCTGAGCCAGACAGCCAGGCTTTCTTGTTGGAGCCTCTGGGAGGTGGGGCAGTGGTTTTGGGGCTCTGGCTGTGGACCTTTCAGTCCTGCCCCTGCCACTCAAAAGTGGCAGTGAGGCAGGCCAGGCCAAGCCCCCAGTGAGGAGGCCAACGCCATCGCAGGTGAAGTTGAGCAGCATCAGGCCAGGAGGGTGGGCTGTGAGCATGACAGCCTAGTCCTTTCAGCACAAGCTGGGCGAGCATCTTGGGAGCCACAGCGTGGCAGACACTCCCCCAACAGGCAGGAAGGACATTTCCTTGAGGGGCATTTGGGTCCAGGGACAGACTTAGTGTGTGGGGTGACTCCCACCCCACATGCGAGAGGGTGATGGCAGCGTGAGTGGTCCCCTCTATTGCCTGGACAGCTGGCTCAGTGGCTGAGACTGGCCTCTGTTCTAAGGAGTGCCTCCTTTCCCAGCCTGGTTTGAGCAAACAACAAAATAAAGTGTCTTCCCACACTGCGGGTTTTTCTCCTTTATTTAAAAACAAGCACTAATTTGACATTTGCTGCTAGTGGGAAGATTGACTTCCTGTTTCCTATTGAAGAGCAGGCTGGGCATGACTAAAAAAAATGTGACTCTACTTAGAGAAAACAAAAATCCTAGCCTAAGTGATTTCCAAACTCTGGACTCTATTTCTCAGGCAAACGTCAGATGTAGAAAACCGAACCACAGCTTCGAGTGAAGCCTCATGGTTTAAAAAGCAAAGAATCAAGGACGGAACGAGGCCTTTGAGGAGGGGGCACTTCCCTTGTTTTGCTCACTCCTAAAAATGAACACACAGATGCAGTAAAACACTGTGCCCAGATTTCAGGACAGGTTTATTGTGGTAAGAGTGTGCCTTCTGTACAGTCTGTTGCAAACAATCAGTGTCCAGAAGAGCCACCGGCTGTGGAGGGGCCGCGGAGGGAACACAGGGCTGTGTTGGAAGTCAGACTCAGCTTAACGCAATGCTTATTGCACGATTCACATTCAGAGCAGCAGCTCAGAGAAAAACTTATGTAAAATGGAGATAGAGAGATAGATAAATATTAGAGAACCGGGCAACCTGAACTGATTTTAAAAACTGGAGGAAGGGGGTCATTAGCAGTTACTCAGGTACCAATGCCAGGGAATGAAACCTCATTGAGCAATAGCTACAGGGAGGCTGCCAGAACCACCACCATCCAGGCCCTCTTTGCTCACCAGGTAACTGTTACCACAGTTAACAGACCAGGCTGTTCAGGAGTATCCTGGCTCCCAAAACAGTCTGCAGCCACAGAAGAGGCAAGTGAAAGAAAGTCTTGGGAGCAGACACCCAGACAGGAGGCCCCTCTGAGGAGGGAGTTGGACATGACCAGTCGTGGGGAGCGGCAGTGACACCTGCTGGCCGTGTGTGTGAGCGAGGCACAGGCAGCCTCGGAGCTCTCCTGGCACTCAGGACTGGCTCAGGATTTGGCACGTCTGAGCCCTGGTCCTTTCAAGCCCCCTCAGCTATGCTTCCCTCCTCCCGCCCCCCCAACCTCTCTTCATTCTCACACTACACTCTAGTGTGAAGGGCACAGCAGGTCAGGCTGAGCTGTGCGGGGCAGGTTGAGAGGGACATGGCTCAGCTCTCATCTACCTTTTCCCACAAGGATATAGGTGGCTCCTGGGAGTGACCCGTGACAGGGATGGGCCCTGGGACCTGGAGTTACACCACTGTGTCCCAAACCAGGTGCCAGTGGAATGATTCAAGAAGTTCTGGGAGGGTAAAAAAGAGACTAATTTCCAAAACCATTCATTCTCAGATAAAAAGCAAATTTATAAACCCACACAATGCTCTGCAGATTCACTTAGTAATATTTCAGCAGGAAAAGGTGGTTTTCGGGAAGTTGATTGAACAGATGCTCACTTGGTCTGGAGACCTCTGCTCCTGAGAACTCCTTCCTTCCTTTCCATTTTGTTTTCCATGTTCAATGTGGATTTTAGGAAAAGCAGTTCAGTCCTGTGTGTGAGGGCAAGATGTTCCATAAATACCTCAAGAGAGACCAAGAACTACTGGGTGGCTGCAGTCAGCAAACATACTGAACCTGGGGAGGGACCTGGAGGTGTCCTGGGGCCCAGGCCCTTCCCTCTAGGGACATGATCCTTGGGAAAACAGCCATGGGTGGTGCTGCGGTTCTGGTCCAGGTGGGGCTGCCTCAGTCCTACCTACAGCACCCATGAAAGCGGGTTGCCTGTGTGTCCCTTCACATAATTGATATGGTACCACCTTCTATAGGAATAATATAAAACAAACACATCTGACGTCTGGGTTTTTTCCCCTGCTTCCAAATTTGTAGACTCCCAGGAAAAGATTATTTGTAGCCTCTTTTTAATCTGGTTTCTCAAGTAGTTTATCCATCTGTATCAATCCTGTGAGCTGTAAAAGAAAAGACAAACTCAATGTATCAAAAAGGCAACTGTTTCTTTTCTTAATTTTATTTATTTATTTATTTTTCCCCCCAAAGCCCCAGTAGATAGTTGTGTGTCATAGCTGCACATCCTTCGAGTTGCTGTATGTGGGACGCGGCCTCAGCATGGCCAGAGAAGTGGTGCGTCAGTGCGCGCCCGGGATCTGAACCTGGGCCGCCAGCAGCGGAGCGCACGCACTTAACCGCTAAGCCACAGGGCCGGCCCAAAATGCAACTCTTTCTACACTCTCTTTCCACTTAAGGGGTTCAGTCATCACCAGACCCAAGGCTGCCTGGCCTATGGCTGACTAGTTGTGTACAAGGTGCCGAGAATCAGCTGGTTCTAGAACAAGGAGCAGCTGGGTTTGCTTCATACCCAGCCACCCAAGCTGTAGTTTCCAAGCCAAGAGCTCACTCGAATTCCACCTAGGAAAGGGCCCACACCCCCTCCTCAGGGCATCATGTTGTGGGCTCTGAGCCAGTCATGATTCCCAAGCCTGCCTGCTCCCAGACAATGACAGAGGGAAAATGGCTGTGGCCCCACACTGACGTGCCCGGTCCCTGTCAGAGGCCGAGGGCACGCACAGGGCAGGTGGCTGCAAAGGGGCAGCTACTCACACTGCTTTGGTATCCTCAGCGCCTCACTGTCCAGTGCCATCACCTGATGCAGGACCCCCCGGAACTGGTACAGCACCTTCAGGTTCTTCTCTTCACCCACACACGGGTCATAGAACCCAGGCAGCCCAGCCTGTAACAAACAGATTCTTATTCAAAGATGCCTCGAGACAGTCCTTAGAAACCTGGCACCACTACTGTCTGCTGCCCCCCGAAGGTGCAGTGTGGAAGGGCCTTGATTTTCCCTTGGGAGCTGCCTATGACAGATGCAAACTTGGGAGCTTGAGGAAAAAGAAATGAGAATTTCAAAAAGCTGCCTATTTAGTTCTAGATTTCCCTCTCAATACTGGCCCCTTCCCCCACTCTAAATATGCCTCCATCCTCAGAGAAGCCCCACCAAGTTGGAGATACTAGGAGATACAGCTGACTTAACTCAGTGAGCCAGGAGTTCAGTGGCCTGAGCTAATATGCATTTTAATTTGCCTTTATCATCCACGCCCCAGGCTCCAGTGTGAGCCTCTAACGTGCTACAGGCGAACTCACACTCTTTCTGGAACAAGGCGAGGAATAAGCAGAATGTAAGCTCCATGGAGGCAGGGTACGTATTGCTTGCTGCTATACTGGGTACCTAGTAGGTGCTCAATAAATGCTTGTTGAGGGACTGAATGGATGAAGTAAATAAATAGCTCCAATGTGGATATAACTTGGGTGCTGGGCAGCATTCTGCACAGCGACTTTCGGCAACATGAAGGATTTCACTGCAATGAAATGGCCATTCCGAGGGGCCTGACGCCTCCGTTCCCCAGGAGCCTCTTCTGTCTGAATCCCGTGGGCACATGCACGCTGTACCTTAGAGGCCTCTGTGAGGATGAGCTTTGAGTCCTTCACCAGGCACTGGAGGGGCACAGTCACATCAATCACCTTCACCTTCTCGCTCTTCTTGCTCTTGTCGTTGACAAACTTCCCGTACCAGGCGTTGACGATGATGAGCCCTGAGGACAGGCTCCGTCAGAGCGGGGGCAGGCCTCGGCTGGGCACCCCTGCGCAGCTGGACAGCTGGACTGCAGGAGCGATGTGCTCCTTTGAGACCCCCAGCCCCCACCCCCAAGAGAGACCATGCCTTCTCACCCATTCTGGACTCTTCTGCCTCGATTATTCTTCGCACAGATTCCTGCATCAATCGAACCTGCAAAGAACAAGGATGGCTGCCATCAGGACCCTCACTGGGCTCCGCCTCTTTTGTTCAGAGCCACAGCCATATGCCTGGGTGCATTTTAGCCCTTCCCCTGAAGAACCCGACAGTACCCCTGACATTTATCCTAGATATCTCTGTTATCTTATGTCATGTAAAAACAGTTCACTTAAAGGGAAGATAGGACAATAGCCACCACTTTTTAAAAAACCTTGTTATGCTTTTTGAGGGTAATTGTATCTCATCTTTAGGACAGAGACTGAAGTTCCCAGTATTGCATCCCATAGGCAATATAAAGACTAAAATGACCAATGAAGTTGTTGGGGAAGAAAAGTCTGAGACCTAAAGCCCTTGAGACCAGTATGCAGAGTGTGAAGTATTTCCCCCACAGCCCTAGTTTAAGAAGTGTGGACTAGAAAAGAGAGGAGCTTGCGCTGCAGGCTGAGTTCTGCACCTCAGTGTAGGAACATTCACAGCGATTCACAGAGAGCAAAAGGGTGGCGATTATGCAGCACTCACAGCGGCCTCTGCCTCTTGTTTCTTCTGCAGAATGTCGGTGGCCGTGCTTTCCCTTTGCTTCTCCAATTCCCTTATGTGAGAAAAACACAAGCCACACACGAGCGTGGTGTTACCCAGCAGTGAGGCACAGAGCCCCTCGCTGGACCTGCGCCCAGCAAACAGTCTGTGATCTTACTGCATTCCTAATTCTAGAACTTTAACAAATATTTCCAAGACAGTCTCAAGCAAATCTGTTCATCACAGGCCTGTGCAGCTTCCCTTTAATCTTAGATGGCTCTACCCACCTCCTCACCCACCAGAGGGTACAGGAAACCACTGCTGTGGGAAGAAGACTCCACCTGACAGGAACCTCAGCAAAGTGGAGGTCAGAGAAGGTGAGAGTCACAGGATAGGCCACCAACCTTCTGGGATTATTACATAGCACTTTTGGTAGGGTTGACACACGCGATTTTAGATACACAAATATACTTTCCTCTTAGCAAAGCACAGGGACTCGGGATACACCTGTTCCGTCGGAAGACTTGACCCAGCACATGCTTTGTTCCAAGCCTCAAGCCCCTGGGGAATTATGACCCTGAACTCTAATGATTCAAAGCCTAGAGGAGCTCTAAAAACGAGATTCATTCCTTTCTCTCAGATCTTCTAAGCTCAATAATTTATTAAATTAGATCATTATAAAGTAATGAATCTAAACCCCTCTCAGATTTAATATTACCCCTCAATGGACTGGCTACAAGAAACTGCAAAATAAATTACATTTCTGTGACTTCTAAGACTATACTTAATGCCTGTCCTGTATGTTAAGAACTCAGAACCCATTCCTCTTGAACTCAGTGCCAGGAAAAGAAATGGTTAGAATGAGAAAAAGGAAAACTTCTTATTTCTTGTGGTCATGGTTTATAGTGTCAACAATTTTGTAAACTAACTCTAATCCTTTCTGAAAGTAGGACTGACAAATGAAGGGATAAAAGTAGAACTACTACTACTGATAGTAAATAGTTAACATTTATTGAGTACTTACTATGGACCAGACACCATGCTAAGCACTTTGCATGGACTAATTAATTTAATTTTCCTGGGCCGGCCCTGTGGCTTAGCGGTTAAGTGCACGCGCTCCGCTGCTGGCGGCCCGGGTTCGGATCCCGGGCGCGCACCACTTCTCCGGCCATGCTGAGGCTGCGTCCCACATACAGCAACTAGAAAGATGTGCAGCTATGACATACAACTATCTACTGGGGCTTTGGGG